CACAAAAAAAAAAAAAAAAAAAAAAAAAAAAAAAAAAAAAAAAGAAAGAAAGAAAGAAAAAAGAAAGCAAACTGGGGGCTGGAGAAATGGCTTGGCGGTTAAGAGCACTGGCTGTTCTTTCAGAAGTCCAGAGTTCAATTCCCAGCAACCACATGGTGGCTCACAACCATCTGTAATGAGAACTGGTGCCCTCTTCTGGTGTACTTGAAGACAGGTCACTCATATACATAAAATAAATAGATAAATATTAAAAAAGAAAATGTTGTGATGTGGTCTGGCAGTATGAGACACCCAGGCAACTTGCCTCACAGTTTCTTTTGCTTTTTGTTTTTGTTTTTTTCGAGACAGGGTTTCTCTGTAGCTTTAGAGCCTGTCCTGGAACTCGCTCTGTAGACCAGGCTGGCCTCGAACTCACAGAGATCCGCCTGCCTCTGCCTCCCGAGTGCTGGGATTAAAGGCATGTGCCACCATCACCTGGTGCCTCACAGTCTTGAACATAGGGAAGATCTTCCTTTAAAAAAAAAAGAAGAAGAAAGCAAACTGAGAAAATAATATAAGCAGTGTTCCTCCATGGCCTCTGCCTCCATGGTTCTTGCCTTCTACCTGGCTTAAGTTCTACCTTGGTTTCCCTCCGCGATGAACTATGGCTGGATGTGTAAACCAAATGAGCTCCTTCCTTCCCTAGTTGATTTTGGCCATGGTGTTTTAGTATAGCAACAGAAAGCAATAAGAGGATCTTTGAGTAAGGTTGGCCAAAGGGAAGGGAATCAGCCAAGACTAATGAAGGAGAGGAGCCTTGCCCCTCCCTCACCAGAGTCTTCGAACTCACTACCTAGCTGAAGATGATCTTGAACCTCCCCCCCCTTTTTTTCCCTCCTGTTTTTTTGGAGACAGTTTCTCTGTGTAGCCCTGGCTGTCCTGGAACTCGCTCTGTAGACCAGGCTGGTATTGAACTCACAGAAATCCATCTGCCTCTGCCTCCCATTAAAGGACTGCTCCACCACCACCCCAATCTTGAATTTCTCATCCTCCCACTTCTACCTGAGTGCTGGGATTACAGGCATGTACCACCATTTCCAATTGTTTCAGTGGATTGCTGAAGTCTCACCTACAGGAAGCACCCAGTTTGCCCCCCCCAGGGAAGCCTCAGTCCCCCAGGGCCAGTGGGTGTGTAAGTTGGGCAGGAGAATGTGAGGGGCCAGGTTGGCACAAACCCGCTGCCAGATGGCCTCCTGGCCACTCCAAGCCAGAGCCAGGTTGATGCCATTCAGCGCCATCCAGTCAATCTCTTGCTCCCAACGGGCCCAGTCCCACCACACGAAGGAGTAGCTGTGCGTGCACACATTCTGGTAATAGCGGTACCTGCAGGTAGGGGGCACATTATTGGGGACATATGGGATGCCCCACTCACCCATCACCCTGGAGCTCCTCAGAGGCAGCCTGGCTCTGGAATACTACCCCCAACACACATACACACACAGGACAATGGACACAGGTTTCCAAGAGGCCCCTCTACTGCTCATTCCAGATCCACCCAGGTAAAAGCCAACAACTAGTGCTGGATTCTTGGGGCTCTGTAAGCTTTAACGATTGTGGATACATTAACTTCAATTTCATTGAAAATGTCCAGACCCTCTACTGTGCATCGTGGGAGGGGGGTGTCCTAGGATGTCAGTGCCTTAAGGCAAAATCGGTCTCTGTCCTGAACTGGATTCCCAGTCCTACAGTTTTATGGGGTAGATGGTTGCGCGAACACATCATGCCCACACAGTGTGCCAAGAACTAGAATAAGGGCCTGGGGCTTCGGGAACGGTCACTTCACAGCATCGTCAGAGAGGCCAAAGGAGGGGCATGGAATGCATGGATCACGAGAACGTTTTTGAAATTCTACCATCGCACGCAGACTCTCAATCAACAGCGTGGCGGGCGTCATTATTTGCAGCAGGGGCTCCGAGAAGCTAAGGGACTTGGCTTAAGAACTGGCATCTATTAGAGAGGAGCTAAGATTTGAAGGCACCATGGTGGGACCCCAGAGCCAGCACTTTCTTCTCCGTCTTCCAGGTGTCTGTAGCTGCGGCTATCCCTACCCTAGCGTGGTGGGCCTCTACAATGGTGGGTGCCCCAAGGCTACAGGCCGCTGCTCCAGCCAGTTGGGACCTACAGCGTCGATACCTGTTGGGCGTGGCCTCGGTCAGCTCGTCGTGCACCGCGGGCAGCGGCCGGGGCAGGTGCAGCTGAGAGCCGGACCAGGCCACCTGGCAGCCGCAGAAGTCACGCAGGTAGCGGTGCAACCCCGCGGCGGCCGCCACTCCCGTGGAGCCGCGCACACGCACCGGCGCCCCGCCGCCGCCGCTCAGGCTGTAGGTGTCCAGACCCGACTCAGCCGCCAGCGCGCGCTCTACGGACACTAAGAAATCGGCTGCCGGCCCGGGTCCCAGCAACCGGACCACCAGCTCCCGTACGGCCTCTGCCTCCCGAACCTCGTCGCCCACTGAGTCCCCGGCCAGGAGTAGGAACCCCAGAGCCACGGTGAGCACCGCAGCTTCCATGATGCCAACTTTGCGGCAGGGTCGCTCACAACCAATACCTAGCTCAGGGCCAGGGGCGGGTCTTCCCGCATCCAATCCGCTGCAGACCTCGGGCCACGTGGCCTGAAGGTTGGGCTCCAGCTACCCGCCCGGAGACTTGGTT